AAGTATCCTCCCTAGTGGCCCTTCAAAAACAAAATTTACAAAAATCAATTACAACAGTCGTGATAAAAAGCCTATTCAAACTTATGATGATAATACAGTGGAACCCTACTAACTCAAACGCTGAAGGGAAACAAAAAATACTTCGAGTTAGCGGGGGTTCGAGTTATCGGGATCGACTGAATGTTCAGTTATGTAAATAATTAAAATGTTCTGATCTTTCAGCGCTTCACTGTATATTAACGTGCAAATTTAACTTATTTCATCAAAAGCGGTAACATGATTATGCATTTTTAGGATAAATCGTTATGTTTTCGCTACATCAATTACAATTAACTTGCTATAGTGTTAGTTTTACTGTTTTACCGATTAAATAACAAGAAGAGTTAACAGGATGACATCCGAGTGGTGTTACAAGAACCAGAATCCGAGTCATGTATCCGAGTGAATTTCAGTGAAATTTTGATCACGGGAAAGAAAAGTTCAAGTAAACCAAGTAAGAAAGGCTGAAAAGTGGGTTGAAATCCAAGGGAAACAAATTGATCTTAAGACGAGTAAGCGCTGAGTACGAGTTATCCGAGTTCGAGTGATAGGGGTTCCGCCCACCAGTCTGTAGTTTTTTTTCTGTTGTTGCTGTTTTGTTTTGTTTTGTTTTTTATGGTTTTCTGAGTTGACACTACAATTTTCAAGGGAATACTACTTACAGGAACCAATCGACAGCCATGATAAGACCAATATCATCCAATGGTAGGTTGACAGCTTGAAGAACAATAATGGTGGTTACAGAGCCTGCAGATGGAATGCCAGCGGCACCAATGGCAATAGCAGTTGCTGTAATGCTGAACAGTAAAAACAGCAACATTGTATTGTGAATATTATTTACTTGCTATTGCAAGACCTTTTCGTCAGTTGACTACCTTGACAGAATATAGCCGCCTCTAACCGCTCCACGCCGCTTGGAACGACTTACGTCATCGGTATGACACTACAGTGTATTTCAGGCTAACACGCCAACGTCTCTCAGCTTTCGAAAAGTCTCCAGCGGCGGAGAGAGCAATAAGAAAGCCGCTGTATTCGCAGGATTTGATGTTATGAATTACTAGATAAGATAGCCAGGAATACGACCGCCTGTCGTCTCTACTTGTCACGAGGAATGTTTCAGAGACGGAGAGCAATGAGAATCGGCGGTATTCACAGGCTAACTAGTACGCTGTAACAAGATTCGGTGGGCAAAGCGATAAAAAGCCACTGGTTTTTCTGGTTACGTCTTGCACACGACGACACGGCTTTATACCGCCAACGTGACTAGACAGCTTTTTGGCTGAGCGGTGTCGTGGTCTTTGTCATCCCCGTAGGAACTCTTTTAAGAAGAGACCATGAGGGTTAAATAATCTTCATCCTTGTTCTATATGCAGATAGAGGAAGATTTTAAACACTGGACGAAAAAAATCAGACATGCGAAGCCTGTATTTGAGCAGCTTCTGGCTAATAAATTACTAACACTCACCAAATGGCGATAATTTTTCCTCCAGACAGGTCATATCCGTTGAGCTGCGCAATAAAAATGGCTGCAATGGCTTCATACAAAGCTGCACCGTCCATATTCACTGTGGCGCCAAGCGGCAAAACAAATTTGCTGATGCGAGGGTCCACCCCGTTGTTTTCTTCAAGGCAGCGTATAGTGGTTGGCAGAGTTGCCGCACTGATGAAAAAACGGAAATTTTGAAACAATCAAAATGACAAATTAAGGGCGTTTT